AATTACTTCAAACAAAATTCCTTCTGCAAATTCCTAAAGATACCCGACCACTATTTTATACAATTCAAGAAATTTAAAATAACTTACAGGTGTTGACGTGGGGTATATTATCTTCTGGTAACAAATTGATATTTCTTTGGAAAATCCAGATTCCTTTAGAAATATCGAATGGATCACTTGAATGGTACAGTTGACTTTTTTGTTATTTGTTTAAATGTTTCTCTACGACGTACTTGACATTTAAGAGGTCGCTCCACTAATAGTATTCGTACTTGTAGTTAAACCGCTAATCTGCTAAACTGTAATCTGTTATCGCTTGTTATCGCCAGACATACTCTTGTTAATGTTTGCTATGAAGCGGTATATGTGTAAATGCTCATATGTTGAACAAAATACAAATTAAAAATTGAAAACCGCTAAGCGGCCACCTGTCACAAACTTACGAAAGCGTTTTGTTGTCGAAACTGTAACTGACATCTATGAACCTAGCGAGTTGATTGCACTCAATCCGCTCTTATGTGATTTGAATTCCCCCTTTTTATCTAGAAACTGTTTTATCTTTTGATACAATCCTTTGCTTGTATCCTCGATTCCAAATAACAGTGAGACCGCTAGTGGTAGTGCATTGCAAATAGTTGGGAGACTGGTAATATTCCGTTCCTCTAGTTACGTATCTTTTTGATTGTTAAAGTAACTCAAATAGCGTGCAAGAAATCGCAATTCAGTTAATCTTTACAACAACAATACACGTCTGATTCGACAGCAGTTTAAAGACCTTGAGTAACTTACGAATAAAAGATTCAATGAACTTGAGATGGATTTGACTGAGGGAAAATGAAAGATACACGAGGAAAATTTATACAGAAGTCTGACGCGACTTTTGAAAGAAGATCTCTAGGATATCAACAACTAAAGGGAACTAAAGGAAATTAAGAAAAATGGGGAAATTTGAGGCGAAATTGAGAAAAATTTGCCGTAAACTTTGAGGTAAATTTCAGAACGAAATACTGAAGAAAAAGATAGTTAAAGCAACATGAAGGAGAATTGATGTATTCGAACGAAACAATGAATTTGAGAAGACTTGGTCACGAACTTGAAGCGAAGTGTGAGAAGAATTTTATAATAAGTGTATGAAGAGGTTTCGACCTTTTTTCATAGATGTCGCACTCTGCTATTTCGATCGTGATTTGTAAATCTATTTCCTATCAAAACATCATCACCATCATCATCATCAGCATCATCATCATCACCATCATATGTTTCAAGAGCATTCCCACCATTTATGAGGGCGAATCAATTTAAAATGGGAGTTGCTATTCAGGCAACTTTTCTACATGCAGACTAACCTCTCATTATTGCGGTTGTAAAACTATAACTAGATCTTTCGAACGATGTGGTAATTGTCCTTTGCAGCTTATAGGGTTTAATTAAGTGGTTCGAAGGAAAGTAGCAGTTATCTAATATATAGGTATTACAATTTTAAACGCTGTAAGCTTTCGGTTTGAAAGCAAGAATTACCTTGATTTGCACTTGTTGCATTTCACATATCCCAAAGGGGGTTTCACTCGTTTATATTTTGTTCCAAATCATAGGAAATTTAGGACATTGATCTTGTAATCCTGAAAGTTGTCAAATTTCGTCCTTACTAGTTCCATTAACCCCAATTACACCAATTGCGAGTTAGATTTCTGGCGTGCACATATCGAGCACACGAAAAATAAAACAAAACGGTCCGGTAAAACTTTGATAAATGTGCAAACTAAAATTGCATAATGCGCGCGCAATTAAGTTTTACAGCAATAAAGTTCGTATGGGGAAAATAGCATAACGGATGGATAACCTACTTCGACTTCTATAAGAAAGCAGTATATAAAATTATCGCTGCACAAGTTGTTAAAATTTCAACTTCCAGCGCTTTGACTGCTCAATTTGTGAGAATGTGCATTTTACGTTTCAGCAATTCCATTCTCGCTTGCAAGGGGCGAAAAGGTCTTTCATCTCCAACACCACACCGTTAAAAGTTAATGTGTATGAACACGTTACGAACATAAAGCTTCTTGTTTCACAGTATCAGATTGACAATTTGCATATCACAGAATAAAGGCGTTACATAGGCTTGAAAATTTTGACGAGGTAGTTAGCGTTTCAGAGTTGGTATGTTGTCGTGCAGTTCAGTAGAAGAGAGTGGCATAATTATAAGCTTATTTGTTCTTGTTTAATTTACCACGGATGTCAAGTTTTGAAACAGATATATCATCGCATTCGTTTGTTGTTTGTAAGTTTACCGGTTATATAATTGTTCCGTTCAGTTCAGTCACATGTATATAAGATTTTTATGCAGAGTACATTTGATGTACATTGTGCAATGTAGATTTAGAGCAAGAATGGAGTTGTTATAACATTAGGCATCACCTAAAAAAACATCCTACATAAATCATTATTATTTCAGGAGTCAAAGCAATTAGTCTTTTGTTAATTTTCATTTTATTACACACTTTTCAAACGCAATTTGCTGTTTTCCTTAATAAACTCGCTATGAAAGTGAGATATCCTGTGCATGTTATAGAATGTGTCGTACAGTACCCTGTATCTTTTACAAATAAAAAAAATTGGGGTTATTTACCTATTTTTGTTGCAGTATATCTAAAATAGTTGATTACTAATATTTAATGGTACGCCCACATTCCACAACCCTTATTTTACTATTAGTATTATCTTACCATCGTTGTTGGACAAATATTTTGAATATGATAATAATTTATGATTACGTTTACGATCACGACCGCGACCACGATTACGATTATGATTAAGAGCATGATCATGATTATGATTATATTATTAAAAAATACCCAATAGAAGCAAAGGTTTATTATGCGTCACTAACTAACTGTTTTTATTGGCTATTTCAACTTAATGATGCAAGGATAGTGAACTAATGATAATAATGATTGAATAAACCCACCATTCGAATCTTCAGGTTTTTTAGAGCGCGAAATTCTTCGGATCCTTCCACTTTTACTTCGACTTTTGCACTCATATAATTTTGCAGAGGCCTTTGTTGCAATGAAGGGTTGAAACTTCCCTTCTTGTACCAGAATTTTTATATTCTGCGCATGTAGCAAAAGATGATTTTCAAAACGTCTCACGCAACGTAATTGATTTAACTAAGTTTATTGTTGTAAATATCTACAGTGTTAGTTATAACTTCGACAATATTAAGTACCTACTCTTTAATTAAACGTCTCTCGCGATTTAGTTAATACCCACTCGCTTGGAGAGTCAATCTATCTAATTTTTCCAAATTTGAGAATGACCCCTCGTTCAATTACTGAGTAAACGCCAACAATGGCGAATTATTTCAAGATGGCGATGTATCAATTTTGTTTTGGTTAGCGTGATTCTTACTACCAATCCTAGATTTATTTATTGATTTTATTTATTTATTATCCCTCTCTTGTTCTGGGCCCTCAATAGTAGGGCGGAGCGAAAGTAAGCATAAAATTAACAATTTCCGATAATTGTGTACCCTGGGTGTTCAAACGATGTCTTTTGAGTTGTCAAGTCACCAAAAAAATCTGAAAATTTTAGGAGCATGTCTTTGGCTGCCGAAATGACGTTGAAAATTATACAAAAACGAATTTCTTGAAAATGTAAAATTAAATGCAGGCCTTAGCTTGTTTATTTTTTAAGGAAACAACCCAGAACTCACTACGTGGAGGTGGTTGCATGTCATGTTCCACCCTAGCCCTCCCGCAAAAAAAATTTATTAGTTTTGTTCTAAAACGTTTAGAAACTGTTCAAATGCTTCAAATTGCAGTAATACATCTCGTAATTTTAACACAAGCCCTTATTTATTTATTTATTGTCTCTCTTGTTCTAGGCCCTCAACAGGCTTACGTCCAATTACAGAGTGACCCGCATAGTTTAATGATAAGCTATTGATAGTATTCAGTACTTCCTTACTAGTTGTTGGAAGACAGAAAAAATATTCTTTGATATACATACTGGGAAAGGTCGCTCTGTAATCTTGGTCACATAAAGTATAAACCATCCGGAGGGTCCATGTCACTTCTCATTTGGTTTGGTTTGAAATATCAGTATTTTATTAGCAAATTGCACATGTAACATAACTTAAAATAAACTAGAGCCTGCACATCTACACTATACCAGTAAGATTTTAGTGAAAATTTGAAGTCTAGCTATTGTAATTACTGAGATCTCTGCCAGCCGGACAGCCAGTCATAGTGATTTTTTTTTAAAATGCGCTAAAAATTTGCATTAAAATCAAGTTTGGGACGAGACCGTATAATATCGCAGGACTGTTAAGTGTGGATTTAAAATGATTTTCTCTTATTTGTCCCCTTAGTATAATTACTTTTAATTTTAATGGATTGCTCAATTTAGCCAAATTGACTGATGAGTGGGAAGGACCACCATCGAATTATAAAAAGTTGATTACAACGATGTTAAGAGTTGTTTCGGAGTTATGAGAATTTCCCTCACTGACACCAAAACAGAGCCTTCAACGAGAAGCTGAAGTAATCAATCTTTTAAATAACCCTTCAACGTATTGAATGGGATTGAATTAAATGTTAACGTTTACGTTGATTACTACTAATATACCTTACAATTAAATTCAAGCGTCATTGACTACAGTAATTGCATTGCTTGGGTATTCCGCGGCAATTGGTGCAAAACTATGCAAAATCAATTGAACGAAATATCGTTAGGAGTTTGCAGTTGAGATCGTTCAAATGTCTTCGAACCTTCCGGATACACAAACAAAAGTCATTCACACGTAATCAATATTTTACAGTGAAGTTGTTTCGTTTAATTATTACATTTATCGCGTCTACGGCGATGGCTTTATTGGACGCGCGTTTTACGTTTATTACAGGTTATCAAACTTTTCCATTTTACATTCGTCGTGTAATATAATCGTACAGCCACAGTAATTATCGTCTACGCTAATTTGAATCTATTTGCTTTGTTTGTTACAGACTGAGCAGTTTACGGTGCTTTGGGTGCTGTTTACAATGATAGTATTGGGAAACTCGGCGGTCTTGGTAACCCTTCTCGTTAGTAAGAGCAGAAAGTCTAGAATGAACTTCTTTATTCGTCAACTCGCAATTGCCGGTAAGTTCCCAATTTACATTTCAATTATCAAACTTTGCGTGGAAAACGCGACTATTCGCGCCATTGGATTTTTCCGAGAAAAAATTCGCATTTCCATCGCATAACTGTATACTTAAGAAACAAAGTGAGGACAGAAGGAAATTTCATCTAAAGAAAGCAATCTCATCTTCCGACTTTAAAAGGTAAATTAAATTCAACAAAGGGTAATTTTCGCAGAATATTTCATATCAAATGGCCGGTATTAAATTCTTTAATATCAAATTAAGCGAAATTAGAAGTGTAATGGAAAGGTTTATGGGTAATACTGTCGTTTTTCAAAGCTAACGCAGATTACACGATTTCTAAATTAGAACGAAACTAACACTTGAAGGGAAATTGTAATTTTCCTGGTCGTTAAAGGACTAATTCCTATTGCGATTTTAACAGCATTGGAGTTTATCGACATTTGAGGGATGTCTTTCAGGTATAGATTAAGACGTTTGTTTTGTGATTTGTATCCGTAAATTGATTTAGTATTAATTGTTAGTGTGGCTGCATGAAATTATACAGAAAATGTCCATGGTGGCACTAAACTAGCCTGCTTTTCGTAATTCCCTGGACCTAAAGGAGAAAAAAATTTCAAAGTCCTCAGCACTTGGCATTTTTGTGTGGCAGATCAGTATTCTATTAGCCACTTTTGACTTTAAAAGAGTCGGATTCCCTTTGACGGTCCGACGTTTCACCCGCAAGGATTTTTCTCCACCATCAGTTAGATTACCACATTTCCTTTTTCGGTGCAGACATTTTGGTGGATCTCGCTAAAAACCTTCCACAAGATAGTACTTAATTTTTGGGGGGCACTTCTCATTTCGAGCTTCTATTCATTCGAGATTTACGAAACGTTAAAACGCGTGACAGAATTCGCAACGGAAGGTAAAAGGTGCCCGAAGTTGACTACCTCTCGAAGACGCGCGCGCGCGCCATGCAAAAGGTCGTTAATTTTGCCCCTAGGCCAAAAAACAAAATTCCGCCACGCAGGAGTTGTGCGCGTTTACAACATCTTTCCGACGACACCAATTTGAAACGAATCGGACCAAAACTGTAGTAGAAGATAGGAAAAAACTGAAAAACCTTCACGGTGGTATACTACGCTCGAGGACGACGCCCAGATGTCGCCAAGCCCACATCATGTAGCCCTGTCCCCAAGGTTTACAAATTACACGGCCTTGTAGATACACGTACACCCGTTGCCTTTCTGTAAGAGTTCTTCTACGCGCCCACATTTGCTGCCAGCCAGCCGACCAGCCAGCCAGCCCAGCCAAAGTGAGATTAAAAGATTTGAAAAAAAACAGCATAATAACACTTGAATGTTTCTTTTACGATCTAGGCCGGACAATCTTGAATTACTCGTGTTTGAATCCGTTTCGAAGACTGAAATTGGGAATTATCCGTTTTTTCATACTTTTTTTTCGAGAAAAATTGTCTTTTAAATCACCTCAGATGTCAAGCAATCCTGCCTTGTTGCATTTTAATCAAGAGATCACCGCTACGCAATACTGGAATAAGATCGATAACGTTCCGTGATTATCGGATGAAAACCCACAATTAGGAAAATTGATAGACATATTTTGTAGAAAATTTCGGATATTCCGTGGACCAATAGTCTTTAGTCTACTAGTTTAATATCCACTCACTACGCTTCAATCATATGACGAAATCTAGAATTGAGGCGTATAGGATCAAAACCGGACATGTCACATATTTTAACAAAATGAAGTGAGATATACGTTTTGTACATTGAGGCGTGTTTTATAATAAAATGAAGTCAGTTTAGTTGCAAATCCGTACATTTCCTATTAAAATCAGGCTTGAAAATTGCCATTAGATTCAAAAGCGGACATGTCCCATGACATTCTGATGCAAAAACGGACATGTCCATTTGAACCAATAACGTTCCGGCATTGTGTCATGTGATCATGAATTTATTGAGGAAGTTTCTTGCATATAAGTGGCGTGGCCCCTTTTTTGTGCTTTTTTTTTATATAAAATTTATTTTCATTTAATAAATTTTTGATTATGTTGCAATTGCGTTAGTTTTTTTTTACTGAAAAAATAAGCATAGGTATTGTAACTCAAAAATCCGTCATATTTAGTTTCAGAACCAGACATGTCCACATTTGGGGTGCAAATTCGGCCAAACCCTAATTAAATTGATTAATAAATAATAACTCATTTAATAATCAAAATATTTTTATTGTTTCTTGAGTAAGTATCATTTTTTGGGTTTTTGGGTAGATCTGCAACTCAAACCAAGAATTTTTATGTTTCGAATCCACTGGATAGATTATTCCGTTTTTTGGAAAATAAACCATAATCATGTGACATGTCCGGTTTTGATCTTATACGCCTCAGTTCTTAAGAAACAGTAAACTCATATATAAATATCCGCTCAAATAATAATAAGAAATCAAATTATGGCCCTAGCTTCCTGGTAATTCATAGGTCAGGCAACTGATTGTATTAATTCTTGAGTAAAGATGGCTAACTTAATTCCTCGGCGCCATTTTAGTGAGTGTTTTGTACCGGGTGATTCATTAGAACTGAGGACAGTTTGAATGTCCCGCAAAACTAAAAATTTTAAAGGTTGGTAATAACAGAATATCATTTGTCTAATTCCAGTGGTGTATGTAGAATCACTTTCCAAGGGTAATAATTTATTTTTAATTTACAAATAAGTCTCCCTTTTTACAACAAATTTTACATTTGCACTAAGCACAGTCACGATATTAAAATTGTATTAAATGAACTATAAAAATTGCTCAAAATGTCCACCATTGTGTTCACGGCACAATTCCACTCTACGCTTCATATTGTCAAACACTTTCTCCAGAGTTTCAGGTGAAATTCTTTCTAGTTCCTCAATAATTGCTGCTCGTAGTTCATCAAGAGTATGGAGACGGTTTCGAAAAACGTTGTTTTTTAATGTGGGAAATAGGAAAAAATCTAACGGAGTTAGATCAGGAGAACGAGGAGGCCATAATCCTTTGCTAATTAAACGATTGTCATAAAATTGTTCCAAGTACTGGAGTGTAGCCCGTGCAGTATGTGCTGTAGCTCCATCCTGTTGAAAATATCCTTCCCTTATTTCGTCGTCGTGAAGTTGATTTAAAAAGGTATCCAATATTTGTGTGCGATATCTTTCTGCCGTAATAGTATCGTTGAAAAAAATGGGACCTATGATACGTCTTCTAGACATTCCGACCCATATTCCAACTTTTAAAGGATGTAAACTAGTCTCTTCAAAATTATAAGGATTTTCGGTTGCCCACGTTCGGTAATTTTGGCTATTAATATATCCAGATAGATGAAACCATGCTTCATCAGTCATAAAAGTTACATTTAAAACGTCGTTGTTATTTAAATTGTTAGTAAACCAATCACAATAATTACGTCGATTCTCATAATCAAGACCATGGAGTTGTTGCAAAACAGAAACCCGGTACGGGTGCATACGTAGATCTTTATGTAAAATTCGTTGGCATGTTGAATAAGACACTCCTGTAATTCGAAAATAAAGTTAGTAGGTATAAATTCATTCTACGTGTACCACTTACCAGCTTGGGCACTTAACTGACGGATTGACTTTTTGGGACTCGCCTCCATTCGTTGTCTGACATCTTGGACCACTTCATCGTTTCGTAGTAATGGACGACCGGTATGTTTTTCTTTACAAATGCAATTCTTGTTTTCAAATCGGTCCACAATTCGTGTCTTATGATTGGCAAATGCTTTATAAGAAATAATAACATCGGGATACTCTTCCATAAATTGCTCTCGACAGGACCGGAACGAATATGACCATGTTCCATCCTCATTACGTACAGCACTTCGAAAATGAGCCTTCAAAATAAAGGCATCTTGTTCTTGTGTGAAGGGCATCCTCAAGAAGGGTTTTTTTAACCTACAAATGCAAATTAGTGTGATTTAACCGTTACTTAATTACTTACTTCAACAAACTCTTGAATTTACAGCGTAGCTCTGAAAAGAACTGTTTTTAAGAACGTTGATAATACAGTTTGCAAAAGTAAATTAAAAACAACAACAAATTAACGAAATAACGACGGCACTGGTGACTAATATGAAGTAGTAAAATAACTAAAAATATATCATCGCCAATTCAATCACGTAAAAAACACTAGAATTGTACGCGCGAAATTCAAACTGTCCTCAGTTCTAATGATTCACCCGGTAGATCAAAAAAGATGGGTAGGGATTAATCTAGAGGAGAATTTTGGAGAGATTTCGTTTATGGCGCCGCTGTAGAGTTCAGGTCAGAAAAAAAATCACCTATTCATACGGTATTTAGAGGTATATAAAAATTGCTGCTATAAATGGGAATGAATAGAATATTTCCAGAATTTGTTAGTATGTTGGACGAAATTATTTGTTTACGTTAACTACTTGTAAATAAGTGTTGCCAAGTTAAAACCGTTCGTGAGGTTGCCGAAGCTTTAGTATTGCAAAATCAACTGCCTTTAACGTCATAAAATACTATAGAGAAAACGTGTGTTAAGGGTTGCCCTAAGCTAGTTTCAACAAGAAATCAACGATCTCATCAAATAGTGCAAAAAGAGACGAAGAATGGCGAGACTGTGGTAGGCAGTGGGTACATAAGTCTGGACAAAAGTTTTCTACGTTCAGTATGATATAAAATATTGCACAAACCGACATGAATGAAAAACTGGTGTTCTTTTGCAAGTTGAATGCTTCTATGACAATTGGAGCTGAAAACGAAGGATAAATGTTTGGAGGCTGTCAGCAATGCGAAACCGTAGCCAGTTACGGCAGAGTGGAAGTCGAAATATTGCATAAGCGGACAACCGGGTGATTCATATTCGCAAAGCTCAAACAGCTATGGATGCTAGGAGTAATTTTAACTTTCATGTAAAAAAACACGCAGATTACGAAAATATCTCTGATGCGGAAAATGTGTTATCTTCGTTTTGAGCACAACGGTGATATGGAGCCACACTTCACGACGCTGACAGACCTGGTGGAAAGGATGAATGGAATGCATCAAAACGCAGTTCCAGAGGAGTACGGAGCTTTGGTCACTGCCCTAGAAGCGCCGTCGGATGCAGATTTCACCCTGGATTGCGTAAAAGGGAAATTGATTGACGAGAGGCAAGAAATGGCGAATCGTGCGAATGGTGGAAACAGTGACAGTGGTTTTTTTTTGTAAAAAACGGGATCACAAGAAAAAAGTTGCGAAAAATTGAAGAAATGGAATGAAAGTAAGCAGAATAAAACGAAAGAAGAAAACTGATGACGAATTGACCGACTGGGCATTCGCAGCCGGTGTACTGGCACTTCCGGATGTTTGGATTCTGTCTGCAGCGCTCTTCGGCAAGTATACAGTCGTTTACATCCTGAATTGATAGTCGGAAACGTTAGACAAGCTACGCGAGTACGTCGAGAGACCAAATTCGGTAAAAATCCGAAGATACTTCGCTCAGATAACGGAGGCAAGTACACAGGCAAAAAGTTTAAACGATTTTTGAAATAATATTGTGGGTCAGTTAATCGCGCCGTATTTGCCACAACAAAATGGCACTGCGAAACGTAAAAACTTGTATCTAGTAGAGATGGCTCGGTGCATGTTAATTGAAGCCGGACTCAACGACCGTTTCTGGGGTGAAGCCATAGCAACTGCGCACTTTAAACTCGTCTAATGTAATGACAGCAACCCATTTCCTTAAATAGTAGCCTCATTATAGGGTCTTAAGGGCGATTCACATTATCGGTCACGTCACAGTCATATCACGGTCCGGTCAATTATAGCGTGTATCTCTTATCAACATGTTCTGACCGGGATATGACCGTCAAATGTGGAGATTGCTATTGAAATAGCATTTTCCCGCGACTTGAGCGGAGCGTGACCTGAACTATAGTGTGAATTGACCTTTAGGTTCAAAAAATTTTACATAACTTTCGATTAAATCTCATTGCAATAAACGCAGATATCAACAGCACATATTTAAGAATTTCATTTAAACCCGCTCGACCCAAAAAAGATCAAAGAGTATTTAGTGACGGTAAAAAGGCAAGAGATAATAGACTTACGGCACGTAAAATGCAAAAGATTACTTCGGCAATTACAAATGCAAAAACATTAAACTTGCGGCACGAAAAAATGGCAAAAGGGCAATCCAAAATTCAGTATTTAAAGAACACCCCATTTGGAAGAAGTGGAACATGGAAATTCCAGCTCCTCACTGTATTCGCTGCGAAAGCGATGCAAATTAATTTAGTTTTTAATTAATTACTCGGCCTGTAGTTATCGGAAAAGTATAAGATAGGCATCGAACTACTCCTCTTCGAAGGGCGCTCGTTTTGAGATAACTTTGAACGCCGCCTGCCGGTTTTTTCTACAACCCATTAAGACGACGTAATTCATTAAGTACCTATGCTTACCCAATTATTCGCCTTCAACATCAATACTCATTAATCCAATTAACTCCTATTGATAGTTGGAATTTTATTTACATCGGCGATATCGCACTAGCCCTGCTATCTAGATCCCGGCATGTCTGCAAGACTGATAGCGATTTGGAACTCGTTTCTATCCTGGTGTTCGCTTATTATGGGAATCTAAAATCCTTAATAAATAATTAACGGCGCTGAAATATCAAAATATTAATTGACTCCCTTCTTCCTTCTTCCCTGGCTGCAAAATCTGATAAATTGATTACAAAACTTATGTACATGAGTTGGAAAATGCGCTAAAAATGGGCCAGTAATAGAAACGAATTCGATAAATGATTCTTAATTTTTGACCTTTATAGTCGACAAATGAAATTTATAAATATCAGCTCAAAAATTGTAGAGATTTTTATAGCAATAATTCTTACCTTGTGTGTGCTGGAGCGCCGTCTTGTTGAAACCAGTGAAGTCGTTATTACCACTTAGCACAAACACCGCAGTCGTAACTGTTGGGTGATGAAAAGACTACTTCGAACGGGTTTGGAGGATTCTCAGTGGCATAGCAATGGCAATTTTGGTTTTTTACGGTTCCTTGTATCGTGAAATGGAATTCATCGCTCATGACGATCTTTTGCTGTGATCTGCAGCCACTTCTATGAAATAGACGTGGCTCATCGGCAGGCAACAGTTTTTGTGCCAATTAAATTTTGTACGGGAGTTGTTGAAGATATCTCAACACTGGCTCGTACGTGTGCAATATTATCATCCGATCGCTTTGGTTACTTGTTGTTTGGACGCTTGGGATTAGTAAGTCACTCATTAGTTAAAATAGAGCCCTAAGATACTGATCTTTCTGTAGATCCAATAGATCCTAAATTTCAGGGAAAGCCTGTGCAGATCACCGGAGTGATGTATATTATGTAAATCGCGCACATCATCTAGATCCTGTTTATTCAGCGAACTGTACTTCCTCCAGGTCCTGTAGATTAGAAGAGGAACTGTATACTGTAAATCTGTTGGATCTGGTAGATGATGTGACTGTAACGGTTGTTACATATACAAGGGTTGAAGGCCCTCGTTAGTACTAAATAAAAATGATCCCCTACGGTACTCACAAAATTTTTCTTTTTGTCAAAATTAATTGTGGGCTTATCTTACGGAAGTTTGACTTTTAACTTCCTTTTTAAATTTGAAAATCAACACTGGTTTGACTACGGATAAATAAATACTGTAGCGAATATTCTAGAACTCTCTATAGACACCGAGACGATAAAAAACCAAGGCGGGTGTGACGCATTTTTGTCGGGAAATATGATGTGTTTGTTCTAGAGCAATCGAGCGTTCGGGCGCACTCGAGAACAAAACCAAGGCGGGTGTGACGCATTTTTGTCGGGAAATATGATGTGTTTGTTCTAGAGCAATCGAGCGTTCGGGCGCACTCGAGAACAAGTTAAAAGTAATCGTAAACGATTTACATAAAGCGCATTCCCACTTGCATTCATTTCCCATTTGTAAGATGCAACTTCTGTTAAAATCGTAAAAATCCGGCCACAAATATGAAAGATAGCGTTGCACATGGGCAATCCATTGTTGACGTGTTACTTCAATTTCAGTTTATGAGAAGAATTTCATTTCAATGCTTTTCTAAATAAGAAAGTTGGAACTGCGCATGCGCAAACTTAAATTTTAAAACTAATGTTAGATTTTCCTTTGTTCCAAGCGCCTAAGTATCAAATTTCACTTAAATGGTTCCATAGATAAAAAAGTTGGCACTGCGCATGCGCAAAATATAATTTTGAAACTGGCGCTAGATTTTCCTTTATTCCAAGTGCCTATGTATCACATTTCATTTAAATTCTTCCATAAATAAAAAAGTTGGCACTGCGCATGCGCAAAGCCAAATTTTGAAACTGGCGTTTGATTTTCCTTTATCCAAGTGCCTATGTATCAAATTTCGTTTAAATTCTTCCATAAATAAAAAAGTTGGCACTGCGCATGCGCAAAACCAAATTTTGAAATTGGCGTTTGATTTTCTTTTATTCCAAGTGCCTATGTATCAAATTTCATTCAAATACTTTTATAAGTAAAAAAGTTTGCAATTCGGTTTATAAATGGTTGAGATGCGAAAAGGGCACTGTGAATTTTGAATCGATTCGACTCAACTTTTGGCATTGCGTATTATATGGGTAAGGCTATGCCTATATTGAATTTCATGCAATTCAGTTCATAACTAACGGAGATGTAAAAGCGATCGGACATTTCTAAACAAAGTTATCGTTCACACGGACAGATAGATGGACAGACAGACAAAGGAACAGACGGACAGACCAACTGGCAGGCGACAGATAGCAATGCAAAATTATAAACGATCTCTAGGATCGTTAATAAACGGCAAAAGTGTAAAATTATAGAACATGTAAAAAAACGGTTTTTTGTTTTTTTTTTTACAATAACTTTTTTTGTAAGCGGTACAGAAAAAATTCCTTCCTTGGTACAAGACTCGACACCATAACGAACCAAATAGCGCAAAAAGTAGAACAATAGCTCTTAAGATAAAGAACTAGTAGCGTCGCAAAACGAGCGGACGGACGGACGGACGGACAAAGTGGCCACAATAGCGCATTTTTTTTTTATTTTTGTGAAAATGCGCTAAAAATAGTTCGCGCTCGTGTTACGGTAAAACTGGCGAGTGATAAATGCGAACTGTTGTAAATTAATCCATTTCGAAACTGTTAATTAATTGTAAACAAATAAACCACGTGATTAAATTTACGTTCCAATATGAATAACAAAATAAATAATGGAATACATGGCCAAACTAACATCGATCCAATTCAATTTTCCTTTACGTCTTTGCACATTTGAAATATCGATTTGTTTTCTATTAATACAGAAAATAATCTCCTTATGTACATTTTTTTATGCACAACAAACTCCTGACAATGTATACAAAATATTTATGAATACCTTAGGGCTAAACAAAAATGAAATTTCTAAAAAAATGATTAGCATTCAAATGAAACACAATTTCTCCCAATAATGAAAAGTAACCAAAATAAACATTTTTTTACTTTGATTTATGTTGATATGCCACCTTATTAAATTATAGGAAAGGTGAATAAACAATACACTTCAAATGTGTGGGTGTGTAGTCTACCTACTCAAACATTTTTTTAAAGGATCGTTTATGTCCATAAATAGTCCAAACAAAATCACACGATTTCGCCTAATTACAAGATTAAAAATACACAATATCTAAATAAAAGCGACAATATGGAATTAAATTGAAAAGACAAATCTTAACTTCGCCAGATCCCGAAATTAAATTTGTGTAGAATTGAGCGGTTTGGGCGCAAAAAGATGTCAGACACAGCTCTTGATAAAGGATCTTGCTAAAGCGATTTTATCTTAAATATAATGGAGGAAGCTAATTAAATTTCTCTGCTTTTCAGATTTATCGGTCGGTCTCATTAGCGTTTCCACCGACATTGTCTGGCGAATTACAATTTCGTGGTACGCTGGAAACGTACTCTGCAAGCTCATCCGATTTCTTCAAGCTTTGGTTACGTTTTCCTCGACTTATGTTCTGGTGGCGTTGTCGATCGACCGATACGACGCCATAACTCACCCCATGAACTTTTCGGGCAGTTGTAAGTAGCGTCTCAGGTAGCCAAGGGTGAAAAATTTTAATTGCAAAACGTGTTTCAGGGAAGCGTGCACGAATACTTGTGGTGATTGCGTGGCTTCTCAGTGCCCTATTTGCGTTACCCACAATGTTTCTGTTCGAGGAAAAGCCAATTGAAGGTAGGTAATATTGTGGTCTAGGTGCACGGTAGAACTTAACCCTTCAAACATTATTATTAACTTTAAATGAGGTCCCGAGGGGTCTAAACGGCCATCGAAATCATACAAATACCAACGTGACGAAACAGGATTGAATTAATTACTTGCCCCTTGTTTCCGACAATGCGGCTTTGATGTAGGTGTAGTGATTAAGTGCTATTGGACAGAATTGAATACTGATTAAATTTCATAAAAATTTCAAATTGACAGTATTTTGGTGTATTCACCCTCTGGTAGAATCCACAGCGAAAATAATTCAATTGCTAACAAAACGTAAGTAGTGGAAGCTTGTAAAGTGATACCAAGTATAATGCATTTTATTTTCATTGGCAGAGACAATACAAAGTATCTGACGATTCTTATTAAACGGGGAACAATAGCATTACCTGCCGATAATACGGCAAATCCGTCACCAGAGGTATCCTATTAACACCTCATTTTTACTTATTTTTCCTGTAGCAGAGAGTCTCTAATAAATTTTAAACTTCAGGGTGTTATAAGTTACAACGATTTATAACCCTTTTTTTACATAAATTAATCAATAGTACCTCATATAAAAAATGTTCTTCTGCAGTAAGACATGAAACAAACTCAGCCCTCCTTATATCGACAATATTTCGAGAAAATCAAAGAATGGTGCTGTGGATTGAGACTACCCGTCAGGAAATGACACTACATTAAATTATCAGGCGAAACAATTGTTATCTAAACGTAGTCTTTTCGAACCATGAACTTCTGTATTTAAATTGTAAGTAATTAGGATTCTTATTAATAAATATATTAATGGGTTTTATAAATTATTATTTTCCACCACTAAAAGGGGAAACTTTCAAGAAATTGAAATACTACATAGGTCAGTTCGTGGGTCAGTTCCCTTTTGTGTTGCAGTAGCAGTGAAATAACTACCTTAATTTTTTAACAATAGCTCTTTATGGCAACGAAAATATACTGGAGCACTTCATTTATTTGTCCTCGAAATACGTTTTTTTAACCGTGAAAGTTTGTAAAATCTTCTTGAATAAGCCCGTACTTAATACATTACTGATTAATTGACGCCTTATTCAAGATAGCTTCTAGTAATAAAGTAAACCATTTTTTTTGTTACGGACCAATCAGAGTTGCGATACCCCCATGATGTCTATACTGTCACTCGATTTTACAAATTCCACGATAGCAGCTGAGCTAATTTATTTATTTATTATCCCTCTCTTGTTCTGGGCCCTCAACAGGCTTACCTTACGAATTAGAAAAACTGCAGGAAAACCTCATTCGGATTAGCCGGTAGAATGCTCGAAACTGGTCTAAGGTAATTCCCATCTCTGCCACAGATGAAACCTCCACCCAGGTTCGTACACCCGACCTCCAGATTTATAGCCCAACGCTCTACCATTAAACCACAAAGCCGGTTGATTAATCCGCAATTTTATTCACGTAGCCCTAATGAAGGTAACTAAATCAAATCCAAACCCCGGATAGACGGGCGACACCGATTTCCGGAACCAATTAAAAGGTTGCTGTGTATAATATACTGTTGTGTGCAATTTCGTTCGGTCACCACGCCATCCACAAAACAGCTGTCCAGCTCGCCCAAACCAAAACAAAATTGAAACTTTGAAACAATTTTGTAACCTTTCCTCATACTCATCCGGTATCTGCTATAAGAAAAATCCTAATATTGACTTAAAATTTCTCAATTTGATAAGGCCCTGGCTCGATCAACTGAAAATTTCAAAAAAATTATTACACAAATCATGATTAAATCCTCCAAAAAAATCTTGGCCACGAGTAGAAAAACGTGACGTGAAAACTATCTCTGGGTCGCACTTTGGATTCGAATAAACACACAATTAATTGATTGACAATCACAAACATTACGAAACACGTGAGACAATTAAAACAAAATCTCTGAAAGATAGGGTTACAAGGTCTATTGGGAAATTTGGCACGGACCCAGGCAGTCGACAATTAAAATAAGAAATCTTAAATTTTCTTCAGCTTTTTGGGTTTGCGATACTAAGCGTACTTGACTCACAGACAAATGCTGACAGCTTCTTGCAGGAAATTTAGCGCAAAAAAAGTACCCGCTTCTTAACTGTTGCGAATCCAGCCTCGTTTTCTCGTTGTCTCCAGTATTTTATAAAACCGCCACTTCCACTACATCCTAATCTCATTGAACGAAATTTCAAATAAATCGCCAATCTCAACTGAGTGCGACAAAACGCCCCTGCACTTCTCCACGTTCTTCGTAACATCTGAAGCTCCTCATCAGCGAAAGAACACGTGCGTTAATTAAATTTCGCCTAACAACTAACTAAAACTTCTTATCGCAAACCACCAGATGTAACCTTTTATAAATCATGCAAAACAATTGACATATTCTAGTATACAAGGATGTTCCGTGATTATTTTTGGTGTTCAGGGCGAAATAACGTCTGTGAGTTGTTTACGCAACAAAAACAACCGCTAATTCCACCAACCTTAATTACAAAAAAAACTGCTACCAGTCTACATACTTTAAATTTGTGGTGAGTGGCGTACTTCTGCATGGTTAAGGGGGGCATATTTTTATAATGACAACTACTAGTTTTCATTAAATTTTATTAAAGGTTAAAGGGAAATATATCCAGTGTTTCAGACAAAATGTTCATCCTGTATGTTTCCTGTACTGTTTTCCATTATTACATTAGTAGAAAGCTATATTGAATGGACATCTTGACGAAATATGCAAATGAGTAATTGACTCAAATCGAAAAGATCTCTGAAGTATCATTTTTTGTTATTACAAATCATCTTACAAGGTTTTCCGAGACGTCGTCTAGTATAAAAATGGTCACGTCAATCATCTCAGGGAGCCGGCCACTACAAAACTGGTGGCCGTGAGGTGTACACATGTTATGCTATTATATTTTCTTCTCTATCTAGCCCATGCGAAGAAAAAGGCATAATTTTCGCAGTAGGCGGCTACCTGCGACTGTTTTTATACTAGTTGACGGCAATCATCTTGCAAGGAATATTCTTAGGGATACTCCATTTTGTCTCAGAATCATTTAACATATTTTCAGGGACGTGTTTCAAATTATTGCGTCTTAGGAGTTTTCATTCTTTGAGGACAGACCCCTGCATAACCAATATAGGAGGGTGTAAGGTTAAGAAAATTGCTAGCTCTTCAGATAAAAGACAAACGTACAGGTATTTCAATTCTCAATATATTAAACAACATTAATCGTTTCCACTTTATTTGGGGGCGATTACTACTTGCACATAACTACATTTTAACTTAATTGTATCGGAAAAGCATTTTGTCGCTGTTACTACTACATTAACTTTTATTCTAAACGTTATGTACTTTTTTGTTATAAAATTGGACATTGACTGGCGATCAATACTCTACCCTTCGATAGACGAGACGTTGTCTTCAAATTCGAATGGACACAAACATTGTAATCTCAAATACTTTGTGGTAAGTTTAAGTTTTCGCGTTAAATCCATTTTTTGGGCGTTTAGTGTGGACTGCTGTATCTACCTAACCAACTTCATAGTTTTGAAGATTATAGTAAATGAAACTGATTGCCCCTACTATATTTACTTTTTAAAAGGATATCTCTGCTATCTGGAGGTGCTCAATGTGGATCTAATAACTTCTCTCCCACCTAAGTAATATGCGTCTAAGAGACACTACACAACACATTTATAGTAAACTTTCTTAACTCTTGCTTGCAGGGGCCTTCCATTGTTTAAATAAACAAAACACGAATAAGTACAGAAGTACATATTATTCTAGAGGAAGTCACTTCTCCAAACAACCTGACTGTATCGCAGTTGCAGCACTGATCTGACTATTGCATACGGAAATTATGATCCCAACGACAGTCGAAAACAAAAGAGGAACTTCCCCATTAAAATATAAAAGCAATTCCATACACTATTACCTTAAAACATCTCGGTTCCGAGGAATTTATCGCTATACACAACTCATAAGCGTGATGGGTATATAAACCTACATTGGAAGTGATGGACGCGATTATTAAGATCACGAAAATAATCTCACATAAAACTTTGAAACTGGAGCAACATGTATCCGAACCTAATATTGATACCAAAACTTTTGTTATCAGATAAGTGTATATCGTATATACTGGAAAATCGATACAAAAGTTGGAAGGTTTTAGGTTTCTTCCCTTTTAGCACTTTTAATAACGAGGTGTCTGTGTGATGAGTTTGTTTTAGGTCGAATTTGATACAGGTTATTTTCTTGTTTTTCTATAACTTTGTAATCTTTGCTCGTTTCGTTGCGATAATGGTGTAAACGCGCTTATGACAAAAATGTTTCCGTAGCAGCTTGGATGCAATTAAGAAGTGAAATGAATACTCATGAATTCAGTGGTGCTATGTAAATTTATTTATTTCCTATGGTCATAATTGGAAAAGAGAAAACGAGATTTTCAATAACGTTCATTATTATTTTAACATTATTAAACGCCATTGGCAGAGCTTTTGACGTAGGATGAAGTTTTAACTTAATCGGTTCAAGGCGTGATTGTATAAGCTTAATGTCGATACATCAAAGGGACACAAGTTTAAATAGCTTGCAGCGCTTTCTTTTTGAAGAGGAACACAAATATGTAATACCTCGTATATTTAACCTTTCGAGAGGGGTGGATAATTACCATTATTACTTACTAAAAAGGCTGTCTACTGTCTAGTGATGCTCCTTTTAAGAGATCTTCAAACGCCCTTTTGGCAATACTTTTGTTGACGCGCAGTTTAACAGTTATTTAATTCAAACTAATTAAATTCATAAATTAAAACCAGCCATGAACGTATTTCGGTTTGGATATTTATGCGCAATCCCCCCAAAAATTAAAACTAAATTAAGCTAAATTAAGTTAGTTTTATGTAGTTGTTTAGCTTTTCTAATACATAACACTTCATATATTTGTTTCTATCCTGTATATCTATTT